GGCCCGTGAGCCATGGCTGCTGAGCCTGCGCGTCCGGAGCCTGTGCTCCGCAATGGGAGAGGCCACAACAGTGAGAGGCCCGCGTACAAAAAAAAAAAAAAAAAAAAAAGATTAGGGAGGCTATCCCAGTGGATGTGCTCCATTTACATGAACTATTTAAAATCAGACAGTTTTCCCTGGCTAGTAGCGGAAGAGGAAGTCAGAGAGCTTTCAAGTGTGAGGAAGAGGTGCTGGCTTTGAAGATGGAGGGGCCCACGTGGCAAGGGAAGCAGGTAGCTTCTAGTTGCTGAGAGTGGCCTTGATTAACAGCCAACAAAGAAACAGCGACCTCAGTCCTACAGCTTCAAGTAACTGAATTATGCCAACAATCTGAACGACCCTAGAAGTGACTTTCCCCAGAGGCTACAGAGCCCAGAGTGGCTGACACCTTGATTTTTGCCTTGTGAGACACTTGGGAGAGAACCCATTTAAGACCACCCTGGCTTGTGACCTACAAAACTATGTTGTTTTCAGCCACCTCTTTGTGAAAACTTGTTATGCAGCAAGAGAAAACTAATACATGTACTAACTTTTTGTTCCCATTGTTTTATCACTTATTCTCTCCAGGATTGTAGATTTGCCTATTTATCTTTAGTTATGACAGTTTTTGCTTCATGTATTTTTTGACTCTCTAAGGTTCACATACATGTAAGATAGTTATGCCTTCCTGACTGATTGACCCTTTTGTTGTTATAAAGTTTCTACTTCATGTCTGATAACACTCCTTGTTTGGAAATCTTCCTTGTCTGGTATTAACATAACCACACCAGGTCTCTTCTCTCCAAGAAGATATAACAATGCTTAATGTGTATGCACCTGACAACAGAGTGTCAAACCACATGAGGCAAAAACTGATAGAACTGCAAGGACAAATAGATTAATGCACTATTACACTTGCAGTCTTCGGTGCCCCTCTGCATATACTGAACAGATCTACCAGGCAGACAGTCAGTACAGAGTTGAACTCAAAAACACCATCAACTGGATATAATTGACATCTATAGGATGCTTCATCTAACAACAGCAGAATACACATTCTTTTCAAGCTTGTGTAGGACATTCACCAGGTAGACCACATTCTGGGACATTAAACTCACCTTCACAAATTTAAAGGACTAGAAATCTTACAATGCCTACTCTTAGATCACAGTGGAATTAAAATAAAAAGATAGCTGGAAAATTCCTAAATACATGGAGATTAAACAACATAGTTCCAAATAACACAAGGGTCAAAGAAGAAATCTCGAGAAATTTTAAAATGCTTTGAACTAAATTGAATTGAAAATAGAATTCATCAAAATTTATGAGATACAGTGAAAGCAGTGCTGAGAGGGAAATGTATAGCATGAAATGCACATAATAGAAAAGAAGAGGAAGAGTCACGTGGGGACTGAGTTGGGGAAATGGTGGCTGTAGGTGTGAGCAGGCTTGGGGTGGAGGGGGCAGCACAGAGGAAGCATTTATGACCTTCTACTGTGAGGTGAAACAAATAAAGAAGAGAGATTCAGTTCTAAAGTCCAAAAATGAGATTGAAAGATTGACTTGTCCTGGTTCCTCCTACTTCAAATTGAGCCCTGATGTTCTTCAGATAGATCCTGAAGTGACAGATGAAGAAATAAGAAAGTAGTTTCAGCAGTTATTCATATTGGAGCATCCTGACAAAAAAGAAGGTGATGCTGATGGAGCACAAAACCCTTTTGAAGCTGTGGACAATGTTTACAAGTTGCTACTGGGCCAGGAACAAAAGATGAGGGCCCTGGTTGTAATTCAGGCAGGGAAATAATACCTGGAACACACTGTGAAAGATTAAAAAGGGCAATTAAAGAAGGAAGGAAAACCTACAAATGTGGAGGAGGATGATCTCAAGCTGTTCAAACAAGCAGTATACAAACAGACCATAAAACACTTTGCTGAGCTGGAAATTAAAAAGAAAGAGACAGAAACCAAAGAGATGCATGAAAGGAAATGAATAAGGGAAGAAGAGATTGCAGCTCAAGAAAATGGTTTTTAAAAATCATTTTTTTCTCTTTTTTCTTCACATTGGATAATTTCTCTTGATATGTCTGGAAATTTATGACCTTTTTGTCTGAAGTTGCCAATTTGCTATTAAGTCCACCCAGTAAAAATTTCAGATACTATAAATTCCAATTCTAGAATTCCCATTTGGTTCTTTTTTAGAGTTTCTAGTTTTTCCTTGAGATTTCACCATCTCTACATTCATTATGTCCATCTCTTTCTTTAAATTCTTGGACATTTTTATAATAGCCATTTTAAAGTCCTAGTGTTTGAATGACCACATCTGAGTCATCTTCTGGTGGGTTTCTATTGACTTCTGTTTTAATGGGTCACATTTTTCTGCTTCTTCACATGTCCAGTAATTCATGATAATATCCTTGACATTGTGAATGAATCCTTGTAAAGCATCTGGGTTATACTGTTTTCCTTTAAAGAATGTTGAGTTTTGTTCTGACTGTTAATATACTGGAAGCTTATTTTGATGTTGTTGAGACTTGCTTTTGGGCTTTGTTAGAGTGGGTTTAGAGTGGCCCTTACCCTAGGGCATGGTTCTTACACGTAAGCAGTGGTCTTCCTATTGTCTTAGCAGGATACCCAGGGTGTTCACTAAGATGTCTCCATTGTGACTCAGCCAGAATTCCTGTATCTGCTAAGACTATGTGACCTCTAGTATCTTTGTTATGTCTTAACCCTGTAGCAGTTGTGCCAGGCTAGACCTTGTGGAGTTTCTCTCATTAAGCCTATCCCATGTCTGGGAATCTGGAGGGAATCCTCGGAGATCATCCTCTTTCTAGGTAGCTCCTTTAATTTTGGTACCCTGCACTGAAATTTACAGATGCTTTAGCAGCTCCCAAATTTAGCTCTCTGACTCCTCAGCTCAGGAGACTATCATTCTCTGCCTGGGGCTGACCATCCTACGCCATAGTTGCAAAATTGTCCCCCAGATCAAAATTGTCCCCAGATCAAGACTCAACTCATGCTTCCCTCTCTCAGGGATCACAGTTATTTGCTGCCTATTGCCTGAAAACAGGTGTCTCATGTACTTTGTTCAGCTTTATAGTCTTGGCAGGAGGGAAACTCTGATTCCAATTACTCCATCATAGCTGGAAGCAGACCTTGATTCCAGAAAGCCAAAAAAAAAAAAAAAAGAAATTATGGGTTTTTCCATCTATTTTCAGCTGATTCTTCAGTAAGTTTAATGTAAGGTAGAGATACCCCTTTCTGAACTCATCAAATTAACCTTCATTTGCCTGAAATTCCAGAATATCTTTTCTTAAGTGCTTCCTCCAAATTTTTTTTCAAATGGATAGTTTCACCTTGAATTATTTAAAGTCTCACTGGAGTGCCTAAATGAAACAGAAACTGAGCTGTTGCTGGCAGGTGGCCGATGGTAAGTAACGTAGTGCTTCAAATCATCATCCATCAGATAACATTTGAAGAACTGAATTTAAAGGCTTATGAAAGTGAATCACATAGACAAGTGTGGGCTGCCTAAAATTTGCGTCTACTCTAGTTCTGATGGTAATGGCCAAGACTTCCCTACCAGGTCACTGATGCAACTCACAATCAGGTGTGGTAAAAAAAAAAACAACCCGTAACTCATGTTTTGGTCGTGATTCCAGTTCCCCTCTTCTTTTGCTGTTTTGTTCTGCAATCTGTATTGGTCTATTTTCCAGGCTAATTTTTTTCCCTTGGGCCAATTCCGCTCTTTTATAGATACTCAGGGCTGGTGAATAATTGCAAAGAATTCTGTTGCTCTGCCATTTCTCCAAGTTAAATGTTTATCAATTTTATTGACTACACCATTGTCTCTTCCTAATTATGTACAAATGTATTAGGTTTTATGCTGCTAATTCTGCAGCATGATTCTCTTTCCTCTGTTGCTATGGTGAAAAAGATTTTTCTAAGCCTCTTGATAATTTGTGGGAAAGACCACCTTTAAAGTGGGTTTCTTACTCAGCAATTTTGCTTACCTTATGGTTTTCTTGGGGGTCTTACTATGTCATATTCTCACTCCTAGCTGAGCAGCTGAAGTGAAAAACTATTGTCATGGAACCCTTGTTCCTGCATCATATATAGACTTTAGCATAATGATAAATATATAGGCAACCAGTCCAGGAGGTCAGGAAGGACGTTAGGAAATGGATATCTGTGCAAAAGAAAAACTCCGCAGATTATCCGTACTAACCCCCAAAACTATAGCATAAAAAAGTGCGATTAAAACACTGAAACAAATACAACCTGATCCAGAGTAGATATCACTTAACCTTCTGATTCTCAGTTTCCTTATCTGTGAAATGGGGTAATAATCCTTGCATCAAAGGATGGTTATGATGGTGCCTAACACTGGCTGGCCCATAGAAGGTGCTTACAAAATATTTACTTCCTTTTGCCCTCCAACACATGCTCACAATGCACAAATGAGCTTTTTCTTAGCCACTGTTATCAACCCTATTCCTTGTCAGATGAATGAATCCTCTGAAATTACACAGATATTTGTAACCGATTAAGAAAGGGTGCAGTTTAATCTCTTGAGAACACATTAGACATTAAGAATGGCCACTGAGCTTGAAAGAATTTAAAGTTCATCTCTCAGGCTCCTCTGCTTTAAATACTGGTGATCCCCAGGCTTTAGCTGGAGGCTTCTATCTGCACGAAACTTGAGTGATTTTATCCAGCTCTTATGAAGTCAACCACCATGTACACGGTGATGACTCCCAAATTCACACGTCTCCAATCCAGATTGTTCAGACTCAATGTGGCCGAACTTAAATGTACCCATTTCTTTTTCTCCTCTCACGTGAATGGTGCTATCGTTCACGCAATAATTATAACAACAAGAACAGCTATAACCACCAACAGCTGCAATAGCAGCTGACATTTATTGAGTACTTCTTCCATTCTGAGCATTTTATGTACATTATTTGCATTTGACCCTCATAATAATACTCTTGTAAGATAACAGAAATATATATTGGTCTCCGTTCCCAGTTCCTGGCACAGAGCTCGTGAAACCATTGTAAATTCCTAAGTGATAAGAACACTAGGAACATCTTTTGTTCTATTGAGGTGACTCTGGGTGAGCTCCTGTATGGGGGCTGGTCACCAGAAAGCCCAAGTCATGCTTAGAAGCTTGGAATTTTCAGCCTCACCTTCCATCTTCCAGAAAGGGGAGAGGGTTGAACAATCGAATTAATATTTGATAATGCTGGTATGAGGAAGCCTCCATAAAAATCTCAGTAGTATGGGATTCAGGGAGCTTCCAGGCTGGTGAGCACATCCACAGTGGCAGGGTGATGTGTACCTCAGCTCTGTGGGGACAGAAGCTCCTGTGGTCAGGACCCTTCCAGATCTTCTCTATTTTTGCCTTCATCTGACTGTTGAACTGTATCCTTTATTCTGTCCTTTGCAGTTGGCGTCTGAAGTGGGGAGCAGGCTTGTCGGACTGGGCCCTTGCCATGTGGAATCTGATTATCACCAGGTAGATACTGTCAGAATTGAATGAAATTGTAGGACACCCAGCTCGTATCGCAGAGAATTGCTTGGTGTGGGAAAAACTCCCACACCTTTGGTGACCAGAAGAGTCAAAAATGAAGGGTTCTGTGTGATAATAATGTAAATACAGGAGACACACAGTAGGGAGCCACAGAAACCCACACATACACTTCTGGTCACTGAAGTTTTCATCGTGAATCGTGTTGCAAGTAGAGAGAAAGAGACACACAAGAAGTTTTCTTTCCAAGTGCCAAGACAATTTAATGGCGGAAAGAATGGTGTTGGGACAATTGGGCATCTACATGCAAAAGGATGAAGTGGGTGCTTAAATCACATCAGATGTAAATATTAACTCAAAATGGTCATAGATGTAAGAGATAAAATTATAAAACTCTGAGAAGAAAACATGCGTAAATCTTGAAGATCAGGTGTTGTTAGGCAATGATTTTGAGATATGACACCAAAAGTCTAAGTGATCAAAGAGATGATTGAAAATTTTCAAAACTGAACATTTTTTCTTGCTGCAGATAATATCAAGAAAGTGAAAAGACATATCTCTGAGTGGGATAAAACATTTGCAAACCATATATCCGATAAGGTACTTGAATCCAGAATATATAAGTAACTCTTACAACTTAATAATAAAAAGACAAATAACCAAATTAAAAATGAATAAAGTCCTTAGATATTGCTCCAGAGAAGATATACAAATAGCCAACAAGCACAGGGAGAGATGGTCACATCATTAGTTATTAGGGAAATGGAAATTAAAACCATGGTGAGATAATATGTTACACCTACTGGGAAGGCTATCATCACAATAGGGTGATGACAAATATTGTCCAGGATGTGGAGAAATTGAAATCAACGTTTATTGCTGGTGGTAATGTAAAGTGGTGTAGCCACTTTGGAAAACAGTACAGCAGTTCATCAAATTGTTAAATATAGGGCTACCACATGACTTAGCAATTTCACTCTTAGGTGTGTATGTTAGTAAAATGAAAACATATGCCAACACAAAAGCTTGTTCACGAATTTTCATAGTGGCATTAATAACAGCCCAAAAGTAGAAACATCCTAAATGTCCAACAATGGATGAATGGATAAACATGTGGCATATACCCACACAATGGAATATTATTTGACAATAGAAAGAAATGCAGTACTGATATATGCTACATTGATGAACTTTGAAAACATTAAGCTAGGTGAACACCAAAGACCACATATCGTATGTTTCCATTTAAATGAAAAGTCCAGAATAGACAATTCTGTAGAGATAGAAAGTAGATTAATAATGGCCTACGGCTGAGGGGGGATGGGATTGGGGAGAAATAGAGTGACTGCTAATAGGTATGGGCTTTCTTTTTAGTGTGATGAAAATGTTCTAAAATTAGATAGTGGTGATGGTTGCTCAACTCTGTGAATCTTAAAAACAATGAATTGTACATTTTTTTTAATTTTATTTTTTCCCTCTGGAGAGTTTTAAAAAAATTTTTACTGGGGTATAGTTGATTTACAATGCTGTGTTAGTTTCAGGTGTCCAGCACAGTGAATCAGTTATACATATGCATAGATCCACTCTTTTTTAGGTTCTTTTCCCATATAGGTCTTTATAGAGTACTGAGTAGAGTTCCCTGTGCTGTACAGCAGGTCCTCATTAGTTATCTATTTTATATATAGTAGTGTGTGTGTGTCAATCCCAATCTTCTCATTTATCCCTCCCCCATACACTTTTAAATGGGTGAATTTTATTGTATGTGAAATATATCTTGATGAGGATGTTAAAAAAAAGAGTAGGTCAGTGCCTAGCATACGGTAAAGCATTTAATAAATATAAACTCTTGACACTTAAAAAATGTGTTAAGCACACATCTCTGGACAGTTGGCCACTTCTCCTTAGTGGTGAAGGAGAGGACTGTGTCAAAAATGACGGAAGGTCTGAGAACATGGAGAAAGGGTGGTGGCAATGGCAGAAGGAGGCCCTCTGGCAAGGGCGATAATTTGGGGACAGGGAAGAATAGGAATTCTTTGTGGGGCACGTTGAATGTTCAAGTGGAAACGCCTACTGAAGGTTAATCAAAAAGAAATGAATTTTATCCCCATAACAAGAGAATTTTGGACAAAGAAATAGAAAATCTTCTTGCTACTGTGATAAGCAACTGAGAGTTCCCCTTCCTAATGAGTTTGGGGGTTGGTGAGTTGATTGATAGATAACATCATACCTAGAGAAGATGGACTTTGGAGAGTAATGTTTAAGTGATTAAAAAGAGTAATATGGGGGCTTCCCTGGTGGCGCAGTGGTTGAGAGTCCTCCTGCCGATGCGGGGGAAGCGGGTTCGTGCCCCGGTCCGGGAGGATCCCGCATGCCACGGAGCGGCTGCGCCCGTGGGCCGTGGCCGCTG